CCATTCGTGTCTTGCTCATACCATGAGTATCTCACCCATGGTAGGTTGCAGAGATCTTTGCAAGCTTTCTAATGTGCCTTGGATTACTTCATTCCGAGGTCGGACGAGGGAGTTAGAGCCAAAATACCCGAGACAGTCCATACTGTTTCGCACCTGCGAGATACCAATTGTGTCTCACACATTTTGACCATGATACGATTCGAATATGAAGAATATCAAAAGGCAAAAGTTGTAGGTATCTTTGTCATCTTTCTAACGCATCTTTAATCATCTTATTTTGAGGTTGGACGAAAGAGTTAAGACCAAAATACATGAAATAGTCCAAGCTATCTCAGACATGTGCGAGATAGTAGAAGTGACTCGCGACCAGGTCAGCTCCTGACATGTTTTATGATAAGATTGGATTCTAGAACTCATTAGGGTCATCCATAAATATGTGGGGTTATCCTTAAACATGTGAAAGCTATTACACAACCGAAAACCCACCTAAACAAATAATAACGGTTGTTCTTTGATCCTATCCACAAACACAACATTCCTATCCATAAACACTACATTTAAAGCCTATAAATACACCCCTAGCACCCTTATAAAGACAGATCTGAAGGGAGTCACGAATTTTAGAGGAGCTAAGGCGAGGTTTTGATGAATTTGAGAGAGGCTAGCAGATTTTGGCGAACTCCAGCATAAATAATGAGCGTTTCGAAGGATCTGAGGCCCGTCCCCTATTCCTTGAGATCAGGCTTGGTTTTGATCTCGAGAATAGTCGTAATCTCTTTTGGTCAAGATTATCACTTTTGCGATTACTTCCTTTTTGAAGTAAGAGCTTTAATCAATCTACTGTCAACCAGATCTGATCCGAGGTGGTCCACGGATAAATCCCGATACAGGCAAAGATCCCAAGCAAGCAGAGACTAATAAATAGGATATGTGTGTTGTTTGAAGAAATTGTAATCTTTATATTTTTATTGTGTAAGGAGATCTTATAAAAAGATCAACTTTTTATTTATTTGAGTTTATTGTAACGACTGAAATTGTAATAGATTCAAGATAAATAAAATAGCAATTTCTGAACCAAACATGTACATTTTAAGAATATGCTCCTGAAATGAGGAATTTATTAGGATGATCAGATTTTGAGATTTACAATTTGCATTGTTAATTTATTACAGAGGTATGACAATATATGAATTTGAAATTTTTTATTTCCATAGCATGTTTTAACAATTTTAGGATTCATATTTAGTAGTGCTATGATGATTGTCATACTCTGATACATGCAGTCATAAGTTGTTGATCCATTGTACAGATGATGCAATAATGCAGCTTACAATGTTCTCAACAATCTTTGGCGAGGCATACCACGATGATATTGACCAATTATGAGCACGTACAATAATTTACAATCTTTTTGAAAAAAATTCTTACATGGCAATACTTATTTTTATGATGAACAAACAACATACTTTTTATTTTTTTATTACCATAGCTAAGTTTGATACACAGCCATATATTCACTCAAACCATAATATATTTTTCAGTGCATTGTCATCGTACAAATTACAATGTTTGATAACATAAGAAGCATACGAAAAAATGCACAAATTTTCCAAAGATCAATTTCATATTTTGCTTGCTGCAACTCTTGCTTCAGTTATTTGGTTTTTTATGCTTTCTTATCTTCTTCATTCACACTTTCAAATTTTGGTGATATATTTTCAGACTTTGACATCGTTCTCTTCATTTTTATTTCATCTCGCGATTTAGTTTTTGATGCTTTCATCTCTTCTACATTCAGAGTCTCAAACTTTGGCATGACTCTCTTCCTTTCGCTATCATCTAGAGCCCAAGCAAAAAAATTGCATTGTCTATTTGGGTATTTTGCACATCTTAAAGAGTGTTGAGATTTGATAGTTGCATCAAACCTGATTTGTTTGGAACCCTTCATCTCTGTTCATTTTTCTATGGCTGTTGATAAGAGCAAAAAAATGTTATTTTTCTTTCTTATTATCTACTTGGTGATTTTTGTGGAGAACGTTATTATTTGAGCTCTACATAAACCATTGTTTGCTAGTATATATTGATGTTGAAGTGACATAAATGGCTGGCAAAAATATCCATCGGGGGCTGTTGGCTTTTTTGTTGGCTAATATACCCATTGTAATATTGTTGGGTTGTTTTTTGAAATGTGGGTTTGCTTGTTGCTGTTGGGTTCTCCCGCGAGAGAATCTTGGGGCTGTTCTCTTTTTTATTGGCTACCCATTCTAATGCAAGATGCAGTTGTTTTTATTTTACCCGTTGGGTTTGGTTCTTGCTGCTTGGTTCTCCCACCCACGATAGAATTTGGGTTGTTGCTTTTGTGCTAGCTAATACAACCAAATAAAGGTAATCATGGAAACATGCTTTTATTCTTTTTGTTCTCTAAGTTTTTTGTCCCCAACCAGTCATAGAAAATTGAGGGGTTTTTTTTGGTTGGGGGGGGGGGGTTGTATTTCTACACCCTTGTTTTTCATGTGAAACAAACTAAAAACATCTTTTTTAAGGAAATCTAAAGAAAAAAAAAGAAAATGTGATTTCTATGAAGTTTTTATTTTCTAATTTTTGTTGTTGGCGAACTAAACAAGAAGAGTGGTTCTAATTGAATTTCTATTCAAAAGGTCTACCAGAAAACGACTGTTTTGCATGTGATAGCATTTGTATTCCTATTTGTAAATAACAATGTTCAATTACTTACAGTTGCAAATAGAGCAGATCAGTTAGGCTGCATTATAAATAATGTCATCCTAAGGACTCCTCTTCCAAAAAAAAGATTACATAAATAAAGAGGGATGAGAGAAATTTTGTGGAGTATGAATCATTGTGCAACCATACAGTGTATGATGTAGACATAGTACTTATTACATACGTATTTCTTTATTAGAGCTTCTCCAATGTGAGGCTCTATTTTGGAGCCCAAACTTTGGCATATTCCTTAGAATATGCTAAAATAGAGTTATGTAACTCCAACCACACTCCTCTATTTCCAACTCCATTTTAATTTCTCTCAATTTTTTAATTCTTTTACTTATTTTAAAAATATATAATGTAATCATATATTTAAATAAAATTAATTTTCTTTAATGAATTGATAATAAGAAATAGATAATTGTCTTTAAATTATAATATATTTTTATTTTTAATTACTTGGTTCTTGGAATTTTATATTTCAATTAATATTATTTAATATTACTCTCATTTTGAATATTTAAAAAATAAAAAAATAAAAGTTATATAATATAAATAATATTATTAATAATATTATTAATAATATTATTAAATGTATTAATATAAAATAGGCAATCTGATTAAATTAAACAGACATTCATATTACTAAATCCACGACTATTACATAGAAAGCAAAAACATGAATTGAAAATTACATGACAAATAGGAAAAACATAATACATAAAAATACTAAAAGTCTGGAAAGTCAACTCCTCCGTATCCACCTCCTCTGTAGTCTGGTATTCCGTATTGACTTCCAGCGTAACTGTATTCAGGATTAGGAATATCAGATGAAGAACCCCTAGTTATATTTCTATTTAAAATCTGTTGTTGTTTATTTCGAAAATATTCGCGTTTTGTTGGATCGGTAATAGCTTCCAGATCAACTAGCATAATTTCTTTCTCTTGTCGTTCTTGCTGAAGTTCTAACTTTTTCTTATCATTTTCAGCCTTTAACATCATAGCCTGGTTCATTGTCAATCTTTCATTTTCTCGTTGTTCTTTACCTTTTTTTAAAACTTCTAAGATTTCTTGATTTCCTTTAGCAAAATCCTCAAAGTCAATGTTCCTTTCAATTTCTTTCCGTCTTCTCAACTTCTCTTTCTTCCTTCCAATTGGTCGACTAGTTGAAATGCTCATTGGTGAATGGTCGTCGTCATTAGGACTATATGCCTGATTGTCTTCATTTAAGTCAATGACAGGAGAGTTTGAATCAGATCCTTGAGACAAGCGAGACTTTGAAATTTTGGAAGATGCAGAAGGCATGACGCTTATATTTGCCCACTTCTCTGCATCCTTCAAAATCGGCCAAACATGATCAAATAGAAATCCTCTTTTCTCTTCTGGATCTTCTACAAATATGATCCTAGCACGTTTATTCTACCACAAAAGAAGAAATAATTATTAGAAAAGGTGGAAAATAATTTAATAACCAAGAAACATGTAATTCATATACTTACAATATCAAGTTCAGAAGCACCGCTTGGATTGAGGCGCTCGACTTGTCGAATGCATCCTCAAAATTTACTGATGGCTTTCATAATTAATTGCATTCGGCATGAGAGAGACTTCGGGCTCCTATGTCCGGTGTAAACGTTGGAAATCCTTTCGTAAAATAGAGCTGAAATTCGCTCCTATAGCTTGTCTTTCTTTTGATTGGAACCTAAAACTGGATCCTGAGATATTTCAAGCCATGTAGCGCATAAAATTTGATCTTCTTCTTGTAAGAATGATTTTCCGCGACTGGATGCCATAAGAGAAGGACGAAGAGTTGTTGAGAAGAACTATGGAGGAGGAATGAGAAGAGTTGTGATGAAGGAATGAGGGCTGTGCTAGTATTTATAGTGAAAAAATTATGGAGAATTCAATGCTAGTGGGAGAAAGGAATGTGGGTAGAAAACGATGTGGGTAGGAGAATCCAATGTGGGTAGAAAACAATACGGAAAAAAATCCAATGTGGGTAGAAAACTAATGCGGGTGGAAGAATCCAATGTGGGTAGAAACCGATGCGGGTGGGAGAATCCAATATGGGTAGAAACCGATGCGGGTGGGAGAATCCAATGTGGGTAGAAACCGATGCGGGTGGGAGAATCCAATGTGGGTAGAAACATTGCGGGTGGGAGAATGCGGGTGGGAGAATCCAATGTGGGTAGAAACATTATATAATAACACAACATACACCTATTAACAACTCATCACCAATCTATAATTCATTTCTCCAAATCCCCTCTTCAACAATGAACTATGGAGCTGGACCATCACACCTACCATCTTCTTCTTCTTCTTCTTCTGATGACGAAACATTTTCTCATTACGTTGAACAATGGGAGGAGGATATGAAACAATGGGAGGAGGAGGATGAAATCTTAGCTCGTCTATATGTCGCTAACAATAAAATAATGGCTTATTTCTCTAAAGAGGAAGAGAGGCCAAAACGTATCGGCTCAGTTCCTGGTCATTTGGTAATCAACCGTGGGAGGGAAGAAGGTAATTCTCGACTCTACAATGACTATTTTTCTAATAATCCCACATACGGTGCAAATTTATTCCGTAGAAGATTCCGAATGCAAAGGAGTCTTTTCCTTCGTCCGAATGCAAAGGAGCCTTTTCCTTCGTATCGTCGACGCTGTACGAGAGCACGATAACTATTTCGTACAGAAGGTGGATGGTGTCGGTCGGCTTGGACTATCTACTTTACAAAAAGTAACAGCAGCATTTCGCATGTTGGCATATGGTGCACCAGCAGATAGTACCGACGAATATGTAAGGATTGGTGAGTCAACTGTAATTGAATGTTTGAAGAAATTTTGCAGAGCAATTGTAGAAGTGTATGGAGATGAATATCTTAGATCCCCCAATACCGACGATGTTGCAAGACTGTTACAAAAAGGTGAAGAACGGGGTTTCCCAGGAATGTTGGGAAGTCTAGACTGTATGCATTGGGAATGGAAAAACTGTCCAACAGCATGGGCGGGACAATACTCAGGACGTCACGGAGGCCCAACCATTATTCTTGAGGCAGTAGCATCGTATGACCTATGGATATGGCATGCATTCTTTGGCTTGCCAGGTTCTAATAACGATATTAATGTATTACAATCATCTAATTTGTTTGACAACCTAACGCAAGGTATTACTCCTCCTGCTCATTATACAATTCAAGGAAAGAATTATGATGTTGGTTATTATTTAGCCGATGGCATATACCCGAAATGGCCAACCCTTGTTCAAACCATTTCCAAATCCGAAGATAAAAAGAAACAATATTTTGCAATGATGCAAGAAGCTTGTCGAAAAGATGTGGAGCGAGCGTTTGGTGTTCTCCAGTCAAGATTTGCTATAATCAAGGGACCTGCACGGTTTTGGGATAAACGAACTTTGCATGATATCATGACCACTTGCATAATAATGCACAACATGATTATTGAGGATGAACGTGATGAGCAAGAAGATATTATCGTTTCTACTCCACCATCAATTTCAAATGTTAAAGACATAGGGACGAACGATGCCGAACGGTTCCGACAATTCCTGACCCGACATAAGAAATTCAAAGACAAAGAAGCACACTTCGCACTTCGAAATGCATTAATTGAACATTTGTGGGAGAGACACGGCAATGAAGTGATGTAACTTTTTTTTATTAAAGTTTCGATGTATTTCTAAGTTAATGTGTTTTATTTCAGTTTAAGCTCCAATGTATTATCATTTCTAATTACTTGTTTTGCAATTTTATATTTCGATATTAGTCTCATTTTGAAGGTATCGACGAGACATTTCCAATGATATTATTTTCATTAAAAAATATTTAATATATTAATATATATATACAGATTTTAAGTAACTATAAAAAATAATAACGGGATACAATTGGAATAATGAAATGTTGTTAAAGGGTTTGAGGGTTAACTTTGGTATTTTTTTGGGGAATAATAGTATAGAGTTGGCTGCAAATTTGGAGAGAAATCTCCAAATTTGCAGCCTCAGGAACCGAATATGCAGCTGACTGCAAAATATGCAGTTCGGTTGGACGTTGACGCGGCTTCAAAATGGAGAAATGGCGGACGCTTGGAGCTGCTCTTAATCATGGATATATATATACAAACACATGTATGTTTATTAAGAAAACTTATCCCTTAAACCCGTTAAAATCAAGTAGGAAAACAAAGAGGACAGAATACATGTAGAGTCATGTGATACTGAGTTGTTAAAATAAAATAAATTTTACAGACTTGTCAAAATAAAATAAATTTCTTAGAGTCCATCTATATATTAACATATCTATACACTAAATTAAATCTCTAGATCAGTTATCAAAATTGGTATTAGACCCCATTAGTTAGAGTGTATTTGGCAAATCTCTAAAACTGGGCTAAGTCTAAGTGATTTTCTGTTTGACAAAAAACTGAGCTAATGTTCACCTAGTTTTTGTAAACCAAAAAAATTCTCCTAAATTGGTTTTACTTTGGACTAGAGGAGGGCTGCTCCAAACTAAAACCAATTTAGAATGAAACTAGGTCAGGACTGATCCTGGCTCAGTTTTTGATATTTTGTCACACACACCCTTAGGGCCTGTTTGGCAAATGAATAAAATGAGTTTTAGGTGGAACAAATTTGGCCTAAGTATTTAGCCATAGGGAGTGTTAGACGACTTTGTAAAATCAGGTTAGGACTGAACCTGACCCAATTTTGTATAGTTTCTTGTTTGTCAAAATTCTGAGCTAAATCTGGCCTCATTTTTTATGCCCAAATAGTGCCACTAAATTAGTTTTGTTTTGGACCAGGAGAGTCTGGTCCAAAACAAAGTTAGTTTAGCACAAAACTGGGTCAGGACTAGTCCTGACCCAGTTTTGCTGCGTTTGCCAAACTAACCCCTAGTTTGGCAACTAACAAACTTGGACTAAACTAGTTCCTCTTTGGCTCATTTTTTTTTTGGTGAGTTCTTTGGCTCATTTTTAACTCATAATTGGGTTAGAGTTAAACCAATACCTTCTTGGTATGAAAAAGAACCAGATAACTCTGACCCAAAAAACCAAGAAAAAAGAAGGAAAAATAAGTAAATTAACCATCAAAGTTGCTATCTTACATATAATATGTGTTTACCAAAAAAGAAATAGTTCTAAATTAGTTTTCTTTAGAAGTTAGCCAAACTTGGTTCGCCTCAATACTAGTACACATAGAAACTAGTTTAACCAAATCAAGTCTATGTGAAACCGGATCAGAACTAAACTTGGTTAGTTTCTGAGTTGCCAAACACACCTTTAGAGTTCAAAAGAATCTCAACCATATGATCAATACACGTATTCAGATGTTCTCATTCCTGACCTGTATAGTTTACTTAGAATGTATATTTTATCTTGATTGTCCAAAAAAATTAAGAAGTATATATACTTGTATTAATAATATCCCACATTATGAAAATATTTTAGTACAGGGGTCTGTATCCCGTGGGACACGTAAGGTCCACACTTGCATTCTAGATTGCAAAGATCTTCAAACTTCAGTTGATAGTGAATGGGCTGTGAGTACCATGTAAATGACGGGAATAATAGACGAGGCCTTTTACTTAACAAATATTTGGGCTAGGAGTGGGCCTGTAATGTAAAGTAACAGAGGTGCAAAGTTTTCTATTAGGGGCTGTTTGGTTGTTTTCCGAAAAACATCGGAAATGGAAATGTCATATTTCATTTGATTTCAACCCATTTTAAGAGTTTTCCCACATTTTTTTTTTGTGTTTGTTTCGCAAAGAAATCACCTCATTTCACCGCCAAGTCACACAAAGAGACAAAAAAGCCGCAATAGTAACAGTGCACCACATTTCTATTTCTTGTGTTTGTTTGAACAAAAAGCAAAGGAAAGAGAAATCAGCCCATTTAAATAATCTGTTTTATTCAGCTTTACTATTCTAACAGTGCTTTTAGTAATAAATAATTCATTGAAGTGACATTTCCAAGTGTTTTCAGAGGCTTTTGTTGTGAAAACACATTTCTTAAAAAGCTGATGTGGCATCCTACGTGACGTTTCATTTCTTTAAATTACAAAATGAAACAAATTGAAGAAATGAAAAACCCTTGAAACCAAAATCCTATGTGGCACATAAGAGATTTCTTGAAAGGTGATGTGGCGCGTGTTTTCTCATTTTTTTTTTTGACCAAACAAACAGACCCTAACGACCAAAGTGCACAAGCTAGCTTTAGCTCGTCGCTGTCAAAGTATTTTCCAGAAGCCATCTTGTCCGTTACTTTGGATGACCCAACAAGACTTATCCAAGCCACCTTCGCATTAACCACCCCGGATTGTTGGACAATTGTTCTAATCACACCAAACAATTAACTTCGAATAAATAACAACCATGTGTTTGGTTTGGTACATACAGTTAGAACTGCATTGAATCTCCAATATAAGAGTTTGGTTAGTGATATTATTTTTGTTAGTGATATTACAACTCTCAAGTGCAGTTGTTACAATAAAAAAAAAGACTGGAACTAAAAAAGTTGCAACAACACTCAAATTGAAAATGTGATGCAACAATATAAATTAGAACACTTTTTTTTTTCTCTATAGTTGAATAAATAATTAGTATTCGAACTTCAACAGTTTTTCAATAATAAATTATTAGTATTTGAACTTCAGAATTGTTCCTCTCTCAATATATATCACACTCTAAAGGTAAAGATTGTTAAACCCTAAAACTTTTTTTCACCTTTTCTTGGACAAATTTCATTAATATTTTGTTAAAATCTAAAATATATTAGAAATTTTCACAAACTATTTTCTTAAAAGATATATTTTCTTATATAAGTTAAACAAAAATAAGTTCTTAAAAAATCTCTAATTTATTAGAAGAAAATCATTAAATAGTTTTAGCAAGTTTCCAAAATTTATTTGATGAAAGTCAAAAAATGTTATAAAACAATTTCAATATTAAATAAGATGAAACTTACTCTTTTTTTAAAGAAATTATAAAACAGGTAAAATGAATTTTACTAAATATTCTGCAAAAAATAATTTTTGAAATGGCAACGATAAAATCTTTAATCCAAATATTTGGAATCGACTACATGAATCTTGTTTTTTAATTTTATTCTATTATGGTTCCTCTAATTCTCTTTATCCCGTTATCTATAATATTATCAATTTTCGTAACCAGCATACTGTTGGCCTTCTTGTTTTTGACGATGATTTATAAACAATTTACTACTAATGTTGTTTGTCTAGTGTTTGTATATTCCTATGTATTGTAGACAAACAACGTTGTTGGAGGATGGATGGATTGCGCCATAACGATCATATCAAATGGAGGTTGGTGGAATGTCGGGTTGAAGCCTTGCAATTCAAGCTAAAGATCAGGTTCAAGATTCATCCGCAACGTGTACCAAGTCAAGCTTAATTGAAGATCAAGATTGCTTGGGTAATATAGTTTAGGATTTATATTATGTGTGTTAAGTACTCTAAGCTCAATTATCTATACACACACATTTTATTGGTTTCCTTGTATATATATGTAGTCACATATATATACATTACAAGTTTTAGTTTTCATGTTTATAAATATGAAATTACATGTTTCATATTGTGATTTGGTTTATCTACTTAGATATGAAACAAATATATTTTTATATACATACTCATAGGTTTCATTTTCTATTGTATTTGTGAAAATATTGTATTCTTAGTTTGTAGACTTCAATATCAGTTTATACATGTTTTACTAAGTCTATAAAAACATTTCACAAAGTTTCAAAAGTTGGTTTATGTCAAAACATCAAAATTCAAGTATCTCATATTTTTATGTTTTGGACTATTTTGCAAAATGATGATATTTTTCATTTGGGAAGTCCTTTCTGATAACCAGTCGCTGTAACATGTTTATTATCATGTCTACAATCATTCCCCAAAGTTTTATATTTTTTGGAATTTATTTGATATTTTTAAACAGCGTTTTAAAATCAGATATACAGTTGTTGAGTATCAGTTTTCGGTCGACCGAACCGATCGACCGAACCTGAGGTCAAATGTTCACTGGGCGACAGAGAGTCTGTCGGTCGACCGGTCCGGTCGACCGATGAAAATTTTCGGTCGACCGATGAATTTTCCGGTCGACCGACGATGTTGTTTTCAGCTTCTAACGGCTAGTTTTTTGACCGTTGCCTTGGGGCTGTTTTTGTCTTTTGCTTGGTTTGTTGGCTGAGTTGTGAGAGGGTATAAATACCCCATTGTCTTCAACTCTCAAGCTAACTAAGAAATGTTTTAAATGAGAGTTTTAAAACAACATAGTTTAAAGAGTTTTTTGTTTAACGGGTTTAGTGTTTGTTATAAAAAGCTTTTAGGCATTTACAAAAGTTTGATTTGCTGTGAGCAAATTTCAAACGTCAGCAAGTGGAGATATCCTTGGTGTTTGATCATTCCATTCTTCTCCTGGCCTCTCTGTCATCTATAGTAGAGCGTTTCACTTAAACGTCAATCTAGCATTTATAAGTTTTGTTCATTAATTTTATAAGCTAGAATTTCATATTGAGTTGTATATTGTTTTATTCTCTTTGATCACACACAAGACCTTATTGGCTATTGTATTTACCATTTCATAGTGTATTTGGGTGTGTGGGATTTTTGTGATAAGTAGTTGTGATGTA